CTTAGTCTCTTGAAATTGGGAGAGAGTGAGCACCTGAGGAATGTCAGTCCTCTGCCACCAAGGCAGAAGGGCTCAGGGATGATTTTTGATTCGGTAACCAACTGTGTCTGCCACAGTGCTTCACACAACAAACTCCAGGGCAGGTTTGGTGGACTGCAAGCTCTGCGTGAGCCTGTAAGTCAGACACACTCTCAGGCTGCATTAATAAGAGAATAGCATCCAGAGCAAGGGAGGGAATGGTCGCTGTGTCTCTGTGCTGGCTGGACCACAGATAGTACGCCAAGCCCTAGGGGAAGAAGTAAGCTGAAGCTCTTACAGAGCAGGGAGTTGGATGGGTGAGTGGGTGGGGTCTAGTTGCACTGTCTTGGGAAGTAGGGTTGAAAGAAGAGGGCGTTTAACCCGGAGAAGGGAGGGGCACCTTTCCATGTGGGGAGCCATCCTGAATCCTTTAGCAAGATGCACACAACAGAGAGAATTACTTCATGTGGTTCCGGAGGGCACAGCCAGACCCAGAAGCAGTTCTTGTCTCAATAGAAGGAAGACATTTATGGTCATTAGAGCCGCTGTTCAATGAATGACGGGGCTGCCTCAGAGGGTGAGGGTCCTGTAAATGGAGGCTGTATGACCTGCTGGGAAGCCATTGAGGTGATTCTTGCTTTGGGAGGGAGGCTGGATTATATGCCATTTAGGCACGGAGGTGCAGGAGAAAGGGCCTGAGTTTAAGAGTCAGAAGGTCCTGGATGGGCTTTGCCACTTACTAGCTGTGTAACCTTGGCTAAATCACTTAACCTCTCCGAGTCTCGCCTTTTTCATCTACCTGCCTCACAGGGTGGTTGTAAGATCTGTAAAGCTGTGGCACATAGTAAATGCTCGAGAATGAATGGACCCTTAATTCTCTGGTGTCTCCTTTACCTTTGGAGAGAAGCTGGCAGGGATACCAGCTGTAAATACCCCCGCTAGCCAAAAGTGTCCTTTTTCTGCCCTGGATGAGGCAGAAAGAGAGTTTTTACCACAAAGGCAAGGACAGAGCACACGAACGCCCAGGCCAGACCTTCTGCCCCAGCAGGGCCTGTGGTCTCCCCAGGCGGACCTGTGCACTCTGGAAGGATAGCGCCTCTCCAACCCCGACGATGGATCCAAAGCAAGCCCAGGGATGCGGGCCTTCTTCCTGCCACTCTGAGCAGATAGTCAGACCAGAATATTCTGTAGCTGGGGTTGACCCGGTCCTGTGCTCCCTCTTTAGGGAACAAGAGCTGTGGAAGAGTGTTGTTTGGGGGATTTGGCCTGGGTCGAAGGCACCACTTTTCCCCAGGAACCTTTGGACCTTCCATCTGAAGGGCAGGGGTTGTTGACTGGACATTCTGCTTCCCTTCGTCCCAAGTCTAGGGCTCTGGGCAGAGTTTGCCCAGGACACATGGTGAAGTGGGGAAAGTGTTCATGACCCCTTGTCTCCTTCTGCTAGTGGGTTCTGTGAGCCATGTCCATCTGGGGGCTCCCTGACCCATGGGAACAGCATGGCAAGCGGTGTGGGATGCGCAGCTGGGACTGAGCACCAGCCCTGGCCCGGCACGTCTGTGGCCAAGGAAATGCCCCAGTGGTTGGCGTGGCTCTCAGATACGGAGGTCACCGTGAAACAGTCCCAGCTTTCAGGACCTCTTTCTAGCTTCAGTTCTGACAGCTGTAAAATGGGGATGTTAACCCTCACCTAAATCACAGAGTTTTCCAACGATCAGATGAAAGAACGAAGTGAGAGAGCTTTGTCAATAGAAAATGCTGTCACGTGGGTTCTTGGGGGTTCATGGCCAGAGAAAATCATTAAGGTCAATTCTGTCACAGCCCCTGGCCTAAGGGGGTGGCACCACACACAGAAAGCCCTCCCCTGCCACTGGGAGACTGAGGGACAGGGGTCTCCTGATGTTTGTCCAGATGTACAAGTGGGAAATTTCCAGCATCAGAATGACTCAACCTCAGAGATTAGCAGCTTTCATCTGGGCCCCTACTGTGTGTGCGTGTATGTGTGTGTGTGTGTGTGTGTGTGTAGGGGAGTGGAAAGTGAGCCTCCTTGGATACTAATCCTGGCTACGTCGTTATCTTGCCTCACGACCTTGAGCATCTCACTTCCTCTCTGTGAGCCAAAATCTCTTCCTCTGAAAAAGAGGAGCTGGGCCAAGGATCTCAGGGAGTGTGTGTGTGTGTGTGTGTCTTTGCAATCTTCCAAAGGTGGTGGCAGTGCCCAAGGCTGCATTCCAGCATCACTGTCACCTGGGCAAGGGGAGGGGACTGCGTCCTCTGTAGACTGCTCCTTCCGGGGCTCCCAGGGAAATGGCGTCTCTCAGCCTTCAAACCGGAACCCAGCTCTGGGAGTCAGAGGGGGCCCCCACTTCATGCTTCTCAGTGGAGATGGCCAGAGGTGCCCTGGGTGGGGAGGCTGGTATGGCCAACATGGGCAGTTGTCTGTCCTACAGAATTCTTCCCCGGGCACTGGCTTCCTGAGATTAGTTGTGGGGATGCTGGGGGGCTTGGGGGGGCGGTTAATGCTGAGCCTGTGGAAAGAGCTAAATGGTCTTCGGTGGGAGTTGGCAGAACCTCAGGTGGGACAGGATTTCTTAGCTCCATTGGCATCTGCCATCTTTGGAGGGTGACATTTTTAGATTCATAGTATCCCCTCGCACCAAGGTTCTGAATGAGAAACGACGCGTCCTGAACAGCTCTGTGAAAGCACACAGTGAGGTGGGTGAGAGCACATTGCTTGGGGGCCATCGGTTCTGGGCTCAGATCCCAGCTCTGCCATGGATCCACGGCTTGATCTTGGCAAGTGAGCTGCTCTGAGCCTTGGTTTGAGCGGACACATGATTGAGAATAACATATGTATTTTGCAAAGGTCATGGTCCTCAGTTATAGAAGGACTTATAAGCTAAACTCCTTTTAGAATTTACTGTGGGGGAAGGACCAGCCTCTCGATCGGCATGTCCCAAAGCATGCTCTATGGAACACGGGCTGTGTGGAGATGTCATGCAGAGGGTCTGGTGCTGCAAACGAGTTGGGGCAAGGCTAGGTTAAGCACAGGTAAACAGCTGTGTTTGCTGCAGGGCTTTTCCTAACCTTTACTAAGCCGAGATGGCTCAGGAAGCTCCATGAGTGAGTGATATGTGCCGCGTTTCCCCAGATTCGTTTGCCCGTGGACCCCTTTCCCACAAGGCATACCACAGGACACATTTGGGAAGAGCTGTCATCGCATGCCTCTTTCTCTCTGGGCTCCCAGGAAGATTCTGTCTCTATGTGAAGCTTACACAGAGTAACCACATCAGCGGGGTTCTGATATATTTATACCCCACATCCACTCTGCGGTGCTGGTTTTCTATTTTTGTTTTGCTGTACATATATTTTTTAGTGCAGGATGCCTCTAATGCTGTGTGAAAGTGAGGAGGGGGGGATGGCATCCTGCGGAGATAAAGAGCCCATGGTAGTTCTCCAGACAGTTCTGAGTCCTTAGGAGCTGGGGGCGGGGGGCTGCGGTGCATTTCATCACTGCCATCATTCTGATCACGATCCTCAGAAGACTGGGGTGAATGTAGCCCCTTGGGGATTCCTTCAAGTTCTGATTATTTTGCCCCCCGCGAGGAAGAAAGGAGGGCAGTTGTCAGCATATTTATGTCCTGCAAGAGCTGCTTAAGAAAGTAAAAGCAACCTTGCGCTGGTCCCTGCTGACCTCAGAAATGACATCATTTCTACTGTTGCATTTAGCTTTGTTAAGAAAGACAGAGACAGCTGGGTCACGGGCAGGAAGCCTGGCTTTGGATGAGGTGGTCTTAGGTATGGGTGAGCCAACAGGAACTAACATCCAGTTCTGCCATAGCCACCCTCAGAGCCATGGGCCAATGAGGAGCTCATCCCAGGAACAGCCTGCAGGTGTGAGGAGCGCTGTCCCATGAAGACTGGCTGGGTCCTGCCTCCTGGGAGAGGGGTGCAGGCACCACCACCTCTTTCTTTGAACTCTGAACCCCCAATAAATAGGTCTCTCCCTGTATATTTCAAGTGATCCAAGTGGGTAGATGGGGGGACTTGAAAAAATTGCCCCTATCCAACCCTCCCCCTTTATTTCCCTGGAGCATTTCGACCTGTAGGGAGCAAACCATTAGTGGACAGAGAAATCAATTTAGTGGGTTGTGACCAGCATTTTATAACATGAACTAGAATAGAAAGTATTAGAATGTGTTGGCTATAGTAGGGGTTAAGTATTATTTCATGAAAGATAGGTGGGCAGAAAGGCAGGCAGATAGATAGAAATGGGGTTGCAGTGGACAAGGTGTTACTGTGCGATGTCCTCAGTGACATCTGGAAGCCTCTGGCACCGGCTGGGAGGGTGCATCTGCTCCCCGGGTCTGTTCTGGGATCTGGGGTCCAGTCCCAACCGAGTTATCCCTCCACACCCAGAGAGAAATATACCTGGAAGACAGGAGCTTGTGATGTGTCTTCCTTTGAAAAAGACATTTTTGTGTCCATCAGACCATTGAGCCCGGGGGGAACGGGTGGATCCCCACTCTGGCAGATAGGGAGGGGTCACTGTCAGCTGAGGTGCATCCAGCCAGACTCTAGGCCATGTGAGGAGGGGGAACACTGGATTTGGAATTCTCAGTTCTGGTTCTAATCCTGGGTCTGCCATTCACTCCTGTGTGACTCACAGCAAGTGACTTGCCCTCTCTGGGCTTCAGTGTACTCATGTACAAGGGGAGGACTGGACCAGGTGATTTCTCTTCTAAGGTCTTCTGTTGCTCTCATAGTCGTTCCAGGATGACACTGAGAAAATCTGGATCTTGGAGGAAATTACAAAAGGGATGCCAGTGTTGCCCCGGGGTTTCTTCCTAAGGCCCCTGAAGCAAAGGGTTTGGTCAGCCCGGTGTGTCTGTGGACCTCGCTCCTTGGCAGTGCCAAGGGTATACGATACAGAGGCAGCTGAGCCTGAGCCTGGTCTCCATGGACAGCATTTATTAGACGCCATTCTCAGTGTGAAGACAGATAGGCAAGAGGGGCGGAAGGGAGGCCGTGGCAGCCGTAGCCTTTGGGGTCTAGGGGCTGCCCGGGGTGGGGTGTGGGCATGGGGGCATGTCACCCACATGTATTGCATATTCTGTGGCAGTGTGCCCAGGCATAAGGCATTGGGGAAGCAGAAAGGCTGCCTGCAGCGGGAGGGCGGGAGGCAACGCCGGCCTTCCAGTTCCCGGAAAGACCCAGCTGGAGACGGAGCAGTCTGCCATGCTCTGCTGAGGACCGTCTGGCCTCCTTCCTCACCATCTCCCTGCGACTTTGGTTGTGGCTCCCTCGGGACTGACAGGACAGGACCCCTCGAGGGCAGGGTCACACACAGGACAGAGGCAGCCAGCACCCCACACATAACACAGAGGGCGCCCCTGGGTCCCGGGCCCTCTTCTCCTCCACACTGAGACAGGACTCACACACCGGCCAGACTTCTTCTCTCTCAGCGGTTCCCAGAGGCTGGAGCACGTGGCTGGGGTGTGGCCGAGGCCAAGCCCCCTGGGGCTCCCCCACTCCAGCCATCTTTGGCTGACCTTGCTCAGCAGTGGTAGAGAGCTGACAGGGGCACAAGGCGGGAGGGCAGTTTTGGGTGGGGAGGGGCCCCCTGCCCACCCCTCGAGGCTGCCCTGAGACCCGGGACCAGCTCCAGCTGTGGGCCCAACCGTGGAGTCGAGGGCCTCACCTCCCTCTGCTGTTCCGCACCTGGGTTTCTGGTTGCAGGTGGGGTGGGCGGTGGGCCCACCGGGTCCAAACTCTCTGCCTGGGAGGGGCGTTCCTTGCTGCAGCGTTAATTTACCTCTAGCTACCTGGGACACAGGCACCAAGGCTGGCTGCGCAGCCAGGGATAATGTCCCAGGAGGACATGCCTGACACTTGTCTAGCTCATTCTGCCCCATTCCCCCACCCCTAGAGCCTCCGCTCCTGGCCTTTCTTCCATGAGCCTCAGCCCTGCTTCCCGGTCTGTAAGCAGGCAGTCCGGGGACTGAGGGCTCCTACCCTGCCTCAGGGGCCCATGCAGAAGGCCTGCCTCCCGGCCAAGCGGCATAGAGGCTGAGCCCCGACACGGCTCCGTCCTGGAGTCTGCTTCTGGTTTAAGCCCCGGGGGCTCACACAACGCCTGGGCGTGCAGGGCAGGAGCCTCGCTTTCAACAGTGGGCAGAGGAGTCCGAAGGAAAGGGCGCTGAGGCTCAGCACAAGCAGCCTGGGTTCTTGTCCCCCTGGGCCTTTTGCCATCTGTGTCACCCTGGGCAAGTCACGTCGCCGTTCCGGGTGTCCATGTCATCTGTAAAATGGGGATGAGAACTCCTGCCCTGGTGACCTAACCGGGGCGTTGTGAGAATCACATGAATGAGTAGTCAGGACAGGGTTTTGGGAGGCTGAAACTCATTCCACAGATTTAAGAGTTGGTCATTGTCAGCAGCGGCCGGGGATGGCAAGTATGAAGTGTTCTGTTTGATTCTAAGGGCAGTGTCTGAGGCTGGACTTCTCTCGCCCTGATGTGGCTGGAGACCAGTGAACTCCCATCGACCACCCTGCAGACTTGGGGCGGGGCGCTGTCTTCCCATCCCTTCCCTGTCCCTCCCGCAGCCTGCCTGTCCTTGCTTCAGTCTGCCTGCCTTCTGGGGACTAGCTCTGGGGACTGCTGGGTTTCCACTTTCTCCATAACTGCAAAGCCATGCAAAACAACACAAAAGGTAGTAGGAGGTTGGGAGACACAGCTGGGGATGAGGAAGGGGAGTGGGGCTGAGTGGGGGTGACCTGAACAAAGACACCCTGGCTTTTGGAGCCTCGGGAAGGTGGGAGACCTGGCAGGACAGAGGTATAAATAGAGATGCAAACTTACACGGAACACAAAGTTCCCTCCGGACGGAGGAGAGGGTAGAGGGGGGGTGGTCTGGGTACCAGCAGGGCCTCTGAGAACTGGGGAGCTCCTTAGATTTCCAGAGGGATGAGAGGCTCCCAGCTTCTGCCTTCCCTCCCCCACCCCCACCCCCCAAATTTCACATTTCTCGGAATTTGCAGGGCGCCGATGTCCTGAGACATCCTCAGAGCCCGGGCTCCTGCCGGCTGGTGCGCGAGCAGGCACAGTTGGAGATGGGGGGGCCGGGGGAAGGTGGTGAGGGATGTGGGGGGAGCCCCACGGGGCCTCTCGCCGACCCCTACTGCTCCCCCCACCCCGGCAGGAGCCCCCCCCGCCCCGGCCCCCCTGCACTCGCAGGCGCTCCAGGCCCCGGCGGGGGCGTTCACACGGAGCTCCTGCGCTTCATGAGGCCGCGGAAGGTGGACAGGCTGTGCAGGCCCGTGGACACGGAGCTGATGGCGGAGCGCTGCGCCCCACTGCACAGGCAGCGGTGCGAGGGCGTGTCGCTGTAGCGGCCGCCCCCTCCCGGCGACGAGTGGCTCTGCTCGACGCACGTGTCGGACGTGGAGAGGTCCCGCGGGATGATCATGGGGATGGAGTACTGCAGCTTCTCGCGGCTCTTGTACCAGAGGCACGAGCACATGGACTGGAAGTGCAGCACCTCGGCGTAGACGTTGCGGAAGCCGCCGCCGCCGCCCGCCGCCGCCGGGGACGAGCCGGTGTCCGTGGTGTGCGCGCTGCCGCCCGCGCCGCCGCCCGCGCCGCCCGCGCCGCCCCCGCCCGCCTGCCCGTTGCGCGTGAGCAGCGCGCGGTGCTCGGCGTCGCGCTTCTCGTCCTCGGCGTTCATGGTCATGAAGCGCAGCACCACGAGGTTGAGGAAGGCGCCGATGACCGTGAGGCCCGTGAGGATGTACACGAAGCTGAAGGCCACGTACTGCGGCTGCGTCTGCAGCGCCTGGTCCTTCTGCAGCGCCACGTAGTCGCCGAAGCCGATGGTGGTGAGCGTGATGAAGCAGTAGTAGTAGGCCTGGAAGAAGGTCCAGTGCTCGTAGTAGGAGAAGGCGGCGGCGCCGATGCACAGCGTGCTGATGCACGAGAAGAAGCCGATGAGCACCATGTTGGCCATGGACACGTCGGCGCGCCGCATGCCCAGGCCCCTCTTGGCGCGGTGCAGCAGGTACTTCACGAAGGTGTTGATGCGCTCGCCCAGGCTCTGGAACATGACGAGCGTGAGCGGGATGCCCAGCAGCGCGTAGAACATGCAGAACACCTTGCCGCCATCCGTGCTGGGTGCCGCGTGGCCGTAGCCTGGGGGAGAGCGGGGGAAGAGGAGAGAAAGCACTGCGCTGTGGGGCTGCTCTTCCAGAAACCCTGCCCCCTTCCCCGGGGCCTCTGCCCTCCACCTCCCCGACTTTGCAGATTCGGGCTTCTCCTTCCAGCAGAAGAGAGGACAACACGCACTTATGGGCGCATCCTTGACCCCGTACACTGTGCCAGTTCCTTGTTGATGCTCTTGGTTGAGTCCGTAGGGTAGGTAGGAAGGAAGGAGGAAACAGGGAGGGTTAAGTGACTTTTCCAAGGTCCCACCCTTTGGAAGTAGAGCAGCCTGCGTCTGAACTACAGTCTGGTTTCAAAGACCTCACTTTTCTAAATCCAGAGTGGGAGCTGACACATAGAATTGAGGGAGGCAGCAGGGATAGGGTGAAGGGTGCTGGCAGGTCATTTGGGAGACCTGGCTTCTAGCGCAGTGTCTGTGGGCTTTGGACCTGTTCCTCGTCCTCTCTGGGCCTCAGTTTCCTTGACTGTAATGGGTGGAGGTTGCACATCCCATGATTCAGTGTGGAGGGAGGGAAACTGAGGCATGGATGGCTCCTTGATGATTTCCCTGCTGCCAGCCAAAGCTTATGAGAGGTAGTTGGCAACCAGGGCCCACCAGTTTCCCTGAGGCAGCTGGCCGACCAGTGTCAGGGGAGAAAGGGGACATTGCCTCTCTGTTAGCTGGATGAATGATGCTCCAGGATCTTCATCGGCCACCAGTCTGGAGCCCTGGGGTCATTCTCTGTGCCTGGCCCTGAAGTAGGGTCTGTCCTCATGGAGAGGTGGCATTGCCCTTGTTAAAGCAGGGACCCTGCCTGTCCTTCCAGGTATTACTGTCACCAGCCAGACAAACCCAACCCCTCTCTCCTTCACACTGCCCCCAGCCCTCACTGAGCCAGGAGCCATGCAGAGGCAAAGCCTCCCTCTGAGCCAACCATCAAATGGCCTTAAGTCAGGAGTTGTGCCTGGAGACCTGAAGGGGAAAAGACCCTGGATGGGAACTCAGAAGCCCTAAGCACAAGTTCTGGCCCTGTCACTAGTGGCTGTGTGACCTTGGGCAAATTACTCACCCTATCTGAGCATGTTTCCTCATTTGTAAAATGAGGTCTGCTGGTCCTGGACCTGCTTTTTTCACTGGGCTGTTACGATATTTATTACTTTTATTAATAGGATTATTATAACAAAATAATGCTGGTTGGCAGGATTTCCAATTTTTCCTCCTCTCTAAGCCTTATCAAAAATGTAACCAGATGCTGCTTCTTCCATGCAGTTGTCCAGGATTCCTCACTGGAAGTGATCTTCTCTGCTTTGAGTGGCACTGAGAATGTTTAGCTTTGAACTCCAGGGCCAATTTTACCACCATCCCTGCTCTGTCCCCTCGGTTCCCCAACTACATATGTACAGCTAAACACTGTAAACGCTGGGGGTAGCGGGGTGGGCACTGCTCTACCTTGTCATGCTCCTCGCAAGCTTCCCCTCCACATTGCCAGCCATGCCCGTGGAGTAGGCCCAAAACATGTGGATGGCAAGGTAGGGTACCATGTGCTTTGATGTCTGATCTGAATTCCCATCCTGACTCTGCCGTGGACAGTTTTTTGTTTTGTTTTGTTTTTAAAAGCCTCTGTGAGCCTTAGTTTCCACATGTGTAAAATGGGGCTAATAAGTAGAACCTGTCTCCCAGGCCTTTTTGGGAGAAATGAATGAGATAATGTGTATGATGCACTTAGCCTAGAGTCTGGTACATATCAAATGGTCAATACTGGCTCACGATGATAAGCAATGAATGAAGGGCCAGATTTCCCTCACATTTCCAGGCTGGGGGGCAGCTCAGTTCCAGTCAAGCTGGTATCTCTAGAAGCCCAAGGCCATTTGAATCTGAAACCTCAGGCAGACCTGGGGACAGCTGCCTGAATTGTGTGAGGCTGTGGACTCCCCTGCTCCCCACCAGGGCACCGAGCTGGTTGACTGTGTCACTCCGTGCCAGGGGCCTGGCTAGCTGAGCTGTTGAGCCGCCAGGCCTGGCCTGTCCGCATCCCAGCAGGGTGAGAACAGATCGTGCCCGCCAGCTCGGCCACGGCAGCCAGACCACAACTCACCTCGACAGCTGGGCAGGCCCCGAGCCAGAGCTGCTTCTCATCCTGTCCTTCTCTGTCCCCCGGGGCCGGGGCTGGCGCTGCATTGGTGGGGGAGGGCGCGGCACTGTGGATGGGGCTGGACAGGGATTGGGGAGCATGGGCCCAGTGCCGGCTTGACCACATGCTGCCTGTGTGACCTTGGGCAAATCCATTCCCCTCTCTGGACCTCTTTTGCCTTGTCCGCACTCTGGGGGTGGGTTGAGCTACAGCTGTTAATACCCGGCCTGGTTGCCCGGCAGAGCGCCGTCAGGGGGAAAGGAGAGACTGGAAGTACAGGTACTTCAGAACCTGTGGCGTTTGTGATGAAGCAGTGGTGATGGAATCTCATAGGGAAAAGGCCTCCTGAGAGTGTGGTCTGGGGGTAAGGCAGCCTCTGTGGGGTCAGCGAGAAGGACCCCCTCTCGCTGCCACCACCACCTCGCCCTGTGCTCACTCAGAGGCTCCGACTTCTCTGGGACCCATGGGCCTTTAGGAAAACCCAGTGTCTGCGGGCCTGGCAGCACTGTGGCTGCCCACAAGGTCCCCCAGCTGCGGAGAGGCCCTCTCTGGTCTCAATACTGCCCATGTCCCCGCAGACACGAGGCCACCTTCTTCCCCTGGGCCTGTCGGCACACTGCGACCTCCCTGCCTCGCGGGCTTCGATCCTGAGTGCCCTTGTGTGTTCCCAGCTCCCAGCCAGAAGGGACAACTCCTTCCCCTGCCTGCCCCCTGCTGAGGTGCAAAGCGGTGGCACGTCCGGGCTCACCCAAAGGCTCTTATCAAGCCAGAGCCTTGTGCCCCGCTCTGTCCACCGTCCTGTCCAGGGTGGCCCCAGGCTGGATGTGCCTCATCCTTGGGGTCAGATGCTCCCCCCGACCCTAGGCCCACCCTCCCTCGCTCCCTCCCATAGGCTGAGGCTTAAGGTCTTATCCTTCAGATACATTTTAAACTTTAATCCTGAAAAACTTCCACAAGGCCATTATTATGACTATCTCTGTTTTATAGCTGAAAAAGGCTGGAGAGGCCTTGTGAGTTGGCCAAGGCCTCTAGGACTTTCTGACTCATCTGTCATGCCGATGCCTCCGAGCCAATTCATCACCCGGGAACAGTGACCAGGATGGGAAACTGAGGCCCTGAGAGGTGAGCCTTCCACTTGGAGTCTCATCCTTGGGCACGGCCCTGAGCCGGCTGTGGAACAAGTGGCAACAGGAGCACGATGCCCGGGGAACCAGATGCTTCTGCAAGTACCTGGCCCCGGGTCAGCATGCTCCTGTCCCTTCATCTGTTCTCTTGTCACTGGGTGAAAGGGCAAGGGAGCTATGAGGACCTGCTGACGTGGGCGCCCAGCTGGGAGGTGTGCCAGCTGGGGTGGAGCCAGTCCCGGGGGGCCCCGAAACTTCTGGGAAGTAACTGGGAATTTGGCAAGGCCTGTCTGCCGTCCAGAAGGCCCGCCGCCTGCCTGGGCCTTGCCCACACCGGGCGTGGGTTTACGAGAGAGGGGGCAAAAGGTAGTCCCCACCTTCTCCTTGCTGTCCAGCTCTGCGAGTCTTTGGGCGAGGGGCTCCATCTGTCCTTGTGTGTCACTGACACACACGGAAGCTGGCGCTCTGGTCCGAGGACCCTCCCTCCCAGGACCTGATGGACTGACCAGCCAGAACTCATGGCCTGACCATGAGACTCTAGCCACTGCCTCTCAGAGCCCTGGCTGGGGCTGTCACCGCCCCTCATCTCCCAGCCTCCCTTCCTGAATCCACCAGACGTACGAGTTCTCAGAGTCAGGAAAGTGCTTCGTGATCCTATGATCCAGTCCTTCTGTTGTACAGATGAGGAGATAGAGGTCCAGAGAAGGAAAGTGAGCTGCTCGAGGTCACACAGCCAGTGAATGGCAGAGCCAGGACTATACTCCACACTCAATGCTCTGTCCTCTGCCCTGTGGCTCAGTGTGACCAAGGTTGACTTGTTCATTCAACAAGGGCCCAGCAGCACCCACTTGCGAGCAGCTCAGCTAAGAGATGGCCCTGGAACCTGGCCAGAGGCATGGAATTCACCTGAGGAAGCCAGGTGGCTGGCCATATCAATTAATTGTGTGGTCAGACATAAATATTAATTATGGATATTTGGGGCAACAGGAAAAATGAGAGGTGGGACAGGAAGCCCTGGGCCTCAGTTTTTCTGTTTTCCTCCTGATATCACCAAGGAGCTCAGAAACTGGCCAAAGCTGTCTTCCAGGCAGATGCAGAGGGTTAGGGCATCTAGTGGCTCCCCCCCAACCCCTGCTCCTTACTGGATTTTCTCTCTCGGTGGCCTATATCCTTCTAGTCAAAGCACAAATAGCCAATCTGAACCCTTGGTGATGGCCTTGGCTGGACTGGGCTCAGCTGCCTGTTCCCCACTGCCTTCATGTGTTCCCCCAGTCTGAGTGCCTGACCTCCTACCCCTGGCTTGGTTGGCTACAAAGCCAGAACTCTGGCCACAGCCTTGGGTGGAGAAAAAAGCATGGGGCTATGGAGGCAGGAGATCTGGCGGTCTGGCTTGGCTCTGGCCATAACCACTTTTGTGTCTTGAGCAAGTCCTTTTCCCTCCCTGGGCCTCGATCTTCCTCCTCTATGACTTGTGGGATAGGGCAAGATAAAAGGTTTCCATTATCTTCCCTGCTATGGATACCTCTTAATGACTTTTTTTCTATTAACCCACCCATTAGTAGAGTCTAAATTTTGAAAGACGTTATTTATGAAATACAAGGTGTTGATCAGTGCGGGGAACTGCTGCATAGAACAGAACAGGCACTGGATAGATCGTTGTGAAAGCAAGAATTCATTCTTTCCCCTCATCAAAATGAATTAAGAGCAGCCCTGCCAATCAGAACTTCTGATTAGT